CCCTCTGAAGACCAGCTCCACCTCCTCCAAAGCTTCACGTCCCTGAACGCTGCTCCACCCACCAAGAACTGGACAGAAGTCAGGGTCCGTCCGCCTTCATATGAGGGGACTGTGGTGAGAGCTTGGACTCAGCTGGAGGAGACGCTCAGTAAACAGATGAAGAAGCTGCTCTCTGAGGTGGAGCTGAAGAGGGTCCAGCAGTATGAGGTGGAGGTGACTCTTGATCCTGATACAGCACATCCCAAACTCATCCTGTCTGATGATGGAAAACAAGTTACACATGGTGATGTGAAGAAGAATCTCCCAAACAATCCAGAGAGATTTGATATTTATGGTACTGTCTTAGCAAAGCAGAGTTTCTCTTCAGGAAGGTTTTATTGCGAGGTTCAGGTTAAAGGGAAGACTGAGTGGGATTTAGGAGTGGTCAGAAAGTCGATCAACAGGAAGAGAAAGATCACACTGTCTCCTCAGAATGGTTACTGGACGATAGTGTTGAGGAATGGAAATCAGTGCAAAGCTTTTGCTGGTCCTCGAGTCCGTCTCTCTCTGAAGTCTCAGCCTGAGAAGGTGGGGGTGTTTGTGGATTATGAGGAGGGTCTGGTCTCCTTTTATGATGTTGATGCCGCAGCTCTGATCTACTCCTTCACTGGCTGCTGCTTCAAAGAGAAACTCTACCCATTCTTTAGTCCTTGTCCTAACGATGGTGGTAAAAACTCTACCCCTCTGATCATCTCTCCTGTCAATCACACTGAGTAGAACAACCATTTGATTTGAAATCAGGTTCAATATCATTTAATGTTATAAATGTATGTGTTTTAGGGGATTGGCGTTGTATACACTTTTTTTTTTTATCAGATTGTGATCAATGCATTTTTTTCTGTAAATCTTGTCATTGCTACTTCATCAGCAAACCAATTTGACTACATATATTGAAATTATCTGATTAATTCTAAAAACTCTATTACCTGCCTTTGAAACTGTAACATCCTAGTCTAGTAGAGGGGTGCCCAACCTTTTTTGAACCGAGAGCTACTTTTAAAGTTGCCAGTCTGCCGAGATCTACCAGTCCAAATAGAGAGGCGTAGCCCTTACTGACAGCCTACTACCAGGTAAATACACACTTCTACTTGTATAAAACTGACCTTTGTATGATTAATACTTCATAAAATACTGCAGATCCTTTATCTTACCTCTTTCTAATCTACACACATACAAGTATTTCACTGAAGTTACACAACAGTGTTGTTGATACAGAGTTGGAGTTTATTCACACGTCACAGTGGGTAATGTTTTCAAGAAACATTGAACAGTGCTGCCACATATGACACAGGAAAAAAAGAAAAGACTCTGAACCCTTTCTTTGCCATTATATAAAAATAGTGTTGCTACAAAAGTATAAATTAGGCTTACTAATAAGACAACTCAGATCTGAAGCTACACAGGAATCTGCTGCCAAAGTGCAATAAAAAAGACAAAATTAATAGAATCAAACCCTTTTTTTGTTGCATTTTAGTAGAGTATAAAAATAAATGCCTTTAAAATAGGATGCAAGCAAAACTAGTTTCTTAACCTGAATTGATAATAGACTATAATCAATTTAAGTTTGCATTCTTATACCATTTTGTACAATAATTATAATGAATAAGTTCAAACAAACTAAAACTTACAGCTGATTAATAACGGTATCTAACTTGAGTTTTTATTATATCAAAAACCTGTTGAAATGCTACTGCTATTTTTACTGTCCCCAAAAAGCACGTCGGCAGCCTCCAGGAATGCTTCTTTCACAACTTCGCCGTCTTTGAAAGACTTCATGTGTTTCGCAAAACGTGACTGACACGATAAGATGCTATGGTAGCAGCCTTGCTCTTGTTGTTGGGCCTGGTGAAAAGTGACTGCTGTGCATTTAGCTGTCCTTTCAGTTCCCTCACCTTTTGGGAGCGTAGGGCAGAATTAGGAGGGAATTCCGTCTCGTAGCGCTTGTGCACTGTTTTGAAATGCCGCTCCTAAATTACCCTTCTTCGATAAAGCCACGCTCGCATTGCAGATGAGACAGATGGACTTTGAATTGGAATAGATACAAAAATAATCATCCTCCCACTCGGAGTGAAAATTATATATTTTGGGCTTTTTTGCTTCTGCCATAATTGCGGTCTTGTGTGTGTGCGGACTGTCACTCCTGTTGACACGGACAACGTCAGTGAAATAGTGCCCACTGCCCACCAGCCACGCCCCGAATAATGGGGTCACGCCGGCCAATCCCAAAGCTTTGATGCGTTCGAGTGCATTATTCTGGCACAGGAAGATTATGTTATAGGACATTAACGATAAAACAGAATATTGTTGTTCTATTTTTAGACACATCTCGCGATCGACTGGGAATCTCCCCGCGATCTACCGGTCGATCGCGGGGAGATTCCCAGTCGATCACGATCGACTGGTTGGGCACCCCTGCTCTAGTACAACATATTCAAAATGAGAAGCATTTGTACTTTCTTAACAATACTTTGTACCAAATCTGTCACTTGTATTATCTAATCATTGTATATATAGGAAATGTGCATATTGGCTCACACAACTGAAGACCATTTTATGAATAAGTCACAAAAAAAAAATTGTTATCTCTTTTCGTTGGAATAAATAAAGTAAAATTAATGTCTGATGAAATGTTTTTACTTGTTATTACATTAAAAAAACAGCTGATTTTATTATAACAGCACCAAATAATATGATTAAGAACACCATGAGCTGTTCTCAGATGAGCTGAATATAACTCTTGGCTGTTGAGATAGAGTAGTAGGAAGTGTGCCATAATGTTGTTTATAATGTTTTGGGATGTGTGTGAACAGCTGATTTGAACAGTGTGATACATCATGAGGGACATCTGAGGACGCCCTTTAGAGGAGTTCATTATAAACTGTGGCCATATGAATACATGCTCTCAATAAATAACTACACAGACTGATGCTGAAGATGATAACATTAATACACGAGCACACTGAAATCTAAGTCTGATTGCTCCCACCTGCCATATTTCCCCAGCACTCGCCTCAATACCAAAGACACAGGTTCATTCATCTTTATTTGTAAATGTCAAAAATATCAGGTCCTACGTCTTTTTCATAAGCACTTTTTCCTTTACATTTATGAAAAACATCATGGGGTTAAGGAAAAGAAACGTCTTTATGATGAAATATGATTTTCCTAACGAGCAGTATGAGAAACATAAAGAGCTTTTTGAACATTAAAGCCTAGGAACACTAGAAAATGAGCTTAATATGTCCTTACTATAAGTGACAAAACTGAAAATCAGACCCCAGACTCTGAGACCTCAGGTTCCAGCAGCAGTGGGTTTGTGGAAGAAGCAAAATTAGCAGCAGGGTAGCAGTTTTATTATATTATTTATTGTGTGATCTTACAATAAAGGAGGGTTCATGTTGAATTATATTGGGGTTTAACATGAAATAAGACCTTTTTGAACATTAAAGCCTAGAAACAGGTCACAGTAGAGACACTAAATACATATGAACCTGAAAATGAGCTTCATATGTCCTTACTAAGTGTGGCAGTAGCCGCAGAGGGGAGGATAGGTGAATGTATTTGTTCAAGTTGGTTTGATTACACCATTCACAATTCCGACAACGCCACCTTGGGAGTTTCACCCAAGGAAATATTAACACTTTTTCAGAGGACACATAGGTTCGAATACTAATGGAGCCGGAGACGTGGTTTCAATTTATCAAAAATATACAATTTTATTTAGCACAAGTCAATAGTTTAAAATGCAGTTTAAAACAGTCACACAGGGCTGTAGCACAAAGGGAAAAAAATGAATTAGGGGCTGAGGCTTACCAGTGGGGGGATAGGGTCGACGAGTGAGTGGAAGGATCCCCAAACAAACCAAACTTAAATCACCCCAGTCATACGTGCAGGAAATCAAATCCCGGGGGAGCACATCACACACAAAAGAAGAGAGGAAAACCACCACCTTGGACACCAGCACCACCACCTTCAGCTCTCAGTAACTAAGTAGGGAAACAAAGAGGGAAATGCAGTTAATGGGGGCTAAATAAGTAAATCAAAGTAATAAACAAACACAATAGCAAATATGTTCTCATAAACAGATAACTTGTGTAAACATTTAAGAATAAAACAAATCACAAGAGAAAAGGTTCAGTTAAACAAAATAAACAATTAACTAGAATAAAATAAACAAACAAATTTAAATCAAGTTGGCCAAAGTAAGGACAAGTTATAGGGGGGAGTTAGCCCCAGAGTTCAATGACTTCCACACTTCGAGTGTCGGCCCAAGCAAGGCAGCAGGAAGGCGTGCAGTTAAAGCAGCACTTTAACTGGTGAGCGAGCCTCCGCAGTAGGCGACGCAAAGCTGGCCAGAAGCAGCAATCAGAAGCAGCAATATAGCAGCAGTAGCCCAAACATTTAGGCAGGATCAACAGCAGTTGTGCCGATAAATACACTTTCTCCGGTGAAGCAAAACAGCAGATGTCCCTTAATCATTGGATTGGCCCTAGGTTTATGAATAAATACAAATACAGCATTAATATCAATAAAAGTAATGAGGTGGATTGACTAAATAGATCGCCGTACGGCGCACATACCGATCAGGCTTTCCTATCGATGACGCAGAGAGGGGAGAGCTTCATGCTTTCTATGGCTGCGTTGACAGGCTGCACCCGGAGGATCCACCACTAGGTGAGGCAAAGCAGGGCTAAGTATCAATACGCTGGCAAATTGCAGAACCTTTCCTGAAGCGAGCAATGCAACTGCAACATACTTGCACCGGTGGCGGAAGCAAACACGGCAAACACGCAAGTGGGGCGGGTCTCTGTACCAACAAACAAGAGACAGCCAGCTAGAAACCTCTGCCCTTTTATAGGGTGCCCCCTGGTGGTGATATGCTCACAAGAGCCAAAAGAGGAGAATATTCTTTCCAAGGGATTAGGACTCTCATCCTGCTACATAAGCAAAACACCAGAACATCAGACCCCAGACTCAGAGAGCTCAGGTTCCAGCAGCAGTGGGTTTGTGGAAGAAGCTGTGGATTTGCTTAGCTGCAGCCTGACCCACGATGGGCTCCAGCTCGTGGGGGGCGGCGTTGCAGAGCTGGTGGATGCTGGAGAACTCCTGCAGCAGCGCCAGAGCTTTGACCCCGCCGACCCCGGGGACTCGCTGCACCAGAACCAGGACCTTTGGGTCCAGCAGCCGAGAGGAACTCCTCCTCCTGAAGGGGTTCTCTCGACCCTCACCGTGGACCTGGAGACGGGCCTTCACACTGTTGAGATTCCTGGAAAAGGGAAATTACTTTTCATAAAAAAAGTTGATACAAGAACAAAACTTTGTTATTAGATCAGTAAGGACGTCAAATGTCCTGTTTGGATTGCCTTTAGCTGTCCAATATGGAGGAACAACTCGCGCTTGCGCAGTGCAAATCGGGCAGACATGCAAATCGTGACCTTTTAGTTAGTGGTAGTGGAGGAATGTAACAAAATACATTTAATTAAGTACTGCTTTTCAGTAGAAATGTAAGGTACTTGTACTTCAACTGAGTATTTTCCAGCTGCTTTATACTTTTACTTCACTACATTTTTTGGGCAATTGTTGTACTTTTTACTCCACTATATTTATACTGTATACATATATACAGTGGAGGAAATAACTATTTGATCCCTTGCAGATTTTGTATGTTTGCCCACTTACAAAGAAATCAACAGTCTATATTTTGAATGGTACGTTTATTTTAACAGTGAGAGTAAGAATATCAAAAAGACAATCCAGAAATTGAAATTATAAAAAAGATCTAAATTGATTTGTATTTAACTGGAAAATAAATATTTGATCCCCTTGCAACCAACAAGGATTCTGGCTCCCACAGACCGGTTACATTATTTTTGGAACAAGTACATGTCATGTTGACATCTTGAATTTAATGTAATTTAACCGCTACTCATCCAGTTTAAATAAAAGTATCCACAAAAAGTTTGTTGTACTGTACTTTGGGAAGTCTTTTAGATGGAGAAAAGGAGCTTAGTACTACTAGTAGTAACATGAATGTAGGGCAGATGGATTAGTTTCTATAATGGAGCGTAGACTGTGTAATGTGTTGAACAGATAGGAAGTAACTAAGTACATTTACAGTACTCAAATACAAAAGTTTAGAAGTTAGGTGACTTGGTAATTCTTTGTATATGTTGTGTACTTGTCTTTTAATTAATCTAAAATACATTTATAACCTGTAGTAATCCACCGTCTCATCCGGTGACATAACCTCTAAATAAACTGAAGATTTACCCCCATTTTTAGTGCCCGCTGAGAGATCGTACTTTCCTGTGGGTAAAAAGTGCCCCAGTGCTGATTGGCTGGGCGAATTGCAAACCACGCCCCGTACAACTGTGAAAATGTTGTGTAGAGCCGCCATTGTTTTTCCTCGCTACAAAAAGTAGCAGTAGTTTGTTTTTGAAAGCAGTTATGGCAAGCATCAAGAAATCGGTGGAGTGATGAGGTGTCGGCGCTTCTGGAGATCTACGCTGAGGACGCAACCCAGGGAATGCTACTGAAGCCAGTTCAGTAGCTTTCACTCGACCTGGGAATCGTGCACAGCCCCACGGCATACCGGCTAAAAATAAATAAACTCAGGCAGGACTACAAACGGCGGATTCAGTGGCCAACGATGACGACCACGACGAAGGTAAAATCAACTACATGCACTGGGGTTTTAATCTGCACAATAATGGTCTCAGATGTACTTTTATTTGCTCAGTAGATCAAGCTAGCCATGCTAGGCTGAATAGGCTAACACCGGCCCCGAGCTAGCTACATCTAGCTAGCTAGATATTCTCGGCCGCTATGAAAACGTTTTGACTTGTGAATAACTGTGCAGTGTTTCTGTAATTTGCTTCACTAACTCATGGCTCTAATCGTCTGTTTCAGGCGAGGATGGACAACTCTCGGGATTGGAAACAAGCGAGCTTTGCATTCTAGATCACAGCGCTTGGTCGTCCTCCTTACCAGCAACCAAACGCAAAGGTACACACACTGTAACTTTGACTTGAAAGAACGTTACGCATCGAACTGATGTTCACAATCATGTTTATTTCCTTCTTGGTACAATTATGAAACAGCGTGAAAACGTATTCGCCTCGACCGGCATTTACAAATGTTCGCGCCTTTTTACTCTCTCACAAACATTGTAAACATCCGGGCTAGAGGTCACATGACCGGTAAGAAAACTTGCCTCAACAACATTAAACAAAGTTCAAGCATACATGAAGCACTCTTCAAAAAGGAACAATCCTCCGTGTTTGAACCTCTTAAATCGCTGCATAGCCGATTTATTTGGACTGGATTATCCCAGAGAGGCTAAACATTCTTTATAACACAGTTTCAGATTTGTGAAACCCTAATTCTATTTGTGAAAATACAAAAAAGAGAGATTTCAGTGCTTTTTCGCATCCTGGCCACATTAGACCAGGTCCTGATCTAAAACCACTATACCTAGACTCATCAAATCTGGACTGGATTATCCCAGAGAGTCAAAAGATTCTTTATAACACAGTTTCAGATTTGTGAAACCTTAATTCTATTTGTGAAAATACAAAAAAGGGAGATTTCAGTGCTTTTTTTACATGTAGACCACATTAGACCAGGTCCTGATCTAAAACCACTATACCTAGACTCATCAAATCTGGACTGGATTATCCCAGAGAGTCAAAAGATTCTTTATAACACAGTTTCAGATTTGTGAAACCTTAATTCTATTTGTGGAAATACAAAAAACACATTCCTAGTATGTTGTAAAACTACATGGCGACTAAACAGATCTTGTATCTTGCTTATTTTCCCCTCTTAGGAAAGCGGACACGGGATGCGAATTTCTTTGACACCGTCCAGGCGTTGGAGGACCGGCGTGCCGTGGTGAAAGAGTCGATGCACGGGGATCAGATGGTGCTGTTCACCAAGGCCCAGGAAACGGAGGACAAGATGCTCACCAGTTCATTTTATGTTATTGTTATTACTGTTATTATATAGTCTTGATACAACTGACACTTTATTTTATATTGATAATGTTAATTTACATGTACAACTTCTATTTTATTTACATTAAAAATGTGAACTTCTATTTACTGTTAAACAGATCCTGTATCTTGCTTATTTCTCCTGACACTTTATCTTTAGTGATCTGTGTAGCATCCTATACATCACATGTAAGTGATTATTCTGATACCATCATGTTTCATCGGTTATAAACTGGCAAAGCTTTATTTGTCATTTATTTATCATCAATGTTGCAACCTTGTGGAGGAATGGCAGGGGCACATACACAAATATGATAATTTATATAATTTTAAATATTATTTGACCTAAAACTAAATGTTTTTATGATTGTCCTCTGAGGAGGACATGGGGATTTGCAAACTTTTAATTCCCCCCCCATTTTACACAACACAAAATGGAGTACACTATGGGCCGAAACTAACATGTAGGTTTCCATAGTGTTTATGGCAGACGGATGCAGTGGGTCTCAGGAAGATATATAATAAATAATAAAGTTGGGTTTGCTGCTGAGCCTATTTACTGTGCATACAACACACCTGGCACAGTTTATTGTTATTATATTGCCACACTGTACACTATTGTAATGTTGCCTGTCTTGACTGGAAAACAAAAGAGAGAAACAAAAGCACTGTACAAAAGATCAGCTTTATTGTCAAAATGTTTACAATGTACAATTTACACGCTGTTCAGATGCCTCATAAAGCTGGGTCGCCGGTAAGGCAGTCCATTCGTCCCTGTACTTTCACAAAGGTTATGTAATATGCAACATGCTGCCACCTGGAATGTGATCTTGTCCATCTTGCAGTCGTTTCTTTTCATCAAGCACCGCCACCTGCCCTTCAGTCTGCCAAAAGCGTTCTCCACCACCACTCGTGCTCGGCTTTTTTTGTTATTGTACGCAAGTTGCTCAGGCTGCATTAACTCAGTTACAAAGCTGTATAACATGAGCACAAACAGCACAACTTCAGTCGACTCCATCACCATCATGTCTGAGGTCGGAAGGTAAACAACAGACGCCTAATGTACAGCGAGTGGGTGGGCGTCGCAGTATACGCGGGAAGTTTTTCTTCTTCTTCTTCTCTTGTTTTGTAGCGGATTGCAAACAACTTTAAGGTGCATACCGCCACCTACTGTACTCGCCGTGAAGTGGTTTGTGGCCTGCCAGTAAAGCCAAAGCAGAAGAAGAAGAAGTGACGTCAGCGGCTCATTTGCGTAATCTTCCCTCAGGGAAAAGTACTCCGGTGTGAACGCGATCTGTACTAAGTGCCCTGGGGTAAAAAGCGCCGGGGCTCTGAGTGCCGGAACGCGGCTATTGTGTTGCCATGGCAACGGCATGTCCTGTAGATGTCTTCACGGCTGGACTGTTAGCACACATGTGAAGTTTGAGCACTTTTTGAACATTTTCATAGGAGTTATAGCGACATCATGTTTTATGGCGAGGGATGCGTTTCCATGGAAACGGCATATGGTGAGATCTCAGATTTGGCGTAGAGCTGTTGAGGCATGAACCGGTGATATACAAGTGAAGATTGGGGGACGATTGGACCGTGTCGATTGGACTTACAGCGACATCGTGTTTCATGGCGTGTAGTCTGTCGCCATGGCAACGGCATTTGAAGAAATCTCAAAACTGTCTCGTAGATGTCTTCACGGCTGGACTGTTAGCACACATGTGACTTTTGAGCACTTTTTGAACATTTTCATAGGAGTTAAAGGGACATCGTGTTTTATGGCGAGGGGTGCGGATAAACCTCTTACATGTGAACGTTTTGTGGAAGAACAATAACAGATATCTGTGAAATATCAAAACGTGAAGCATGTCAAGGAAGTTGAGTATCTGAAGTGTAATTTTTGTGTACTTTCGGGTTAATAATGTGGCCTTTTTGGCAGTTTAACTAAAGGTGTGCGGCTGCTGCTGTGAGGAAATATCTGCCTGAAATTACAATGGGCTTTAATGGAGACATGTTGAACGTTTTTGTCACTTCATGCCCTCAAGAGGCATTTTGTTTAATTATTTTTGCTTAATTATTTGTCATTTTTCAAGCTACGAGATGTTTTCCTACATTTGTCATGACAAATTATGTCTCAAGAATGTAGGGTTTGGGAATTATGGCAGTTTAAAAAAAATATATGATTCAAGATTTCTTACCCTATAGCTGTGACATCACGCACTCTAGTTAATGTTAAAATCTGAAGAAAACCTCTTTAACAAGGTCTGAACAATGTTTAATATCTCTAAAAGTAAGAATCAGATTTAAAAGTGGTGTTACACGAATAATGGCAGAAAGATGTGTCACATTTTAAAGTTGGAATGAGGTTTCTGAGTGAAAGTATGAATGAACAGTTAGCAGTTGAAGTCGCATGAAGATTTGTTGAAGTCTGAAGAATATCTCCATTGACTTCAATGTTAAAAATGTGATGAATTATGGGATGTATCTCTGGAATTATGAAAGTTATGAATGATAAAAGTAATAGCAGTCGATTCCCGACCGAGCTGAACGTTTTGATGTTTGAACGGAGTTTCTGCGATGTTGAATGTGGGAGGAGAAGACGGAGAAAATAATTGGACGGAATAATAACTCATTTGTCCGTAGCATAACATATAGTTGGAATGCTGTATCAGCATTCCCACTAAAATATTCAGAAAATTGCAAGTTGTTATCAGGAAGGAGAGCTCAACTATGCAGCAGTGAGTCCTCTGCAGCCAGAGGTGAGGCGTTGAAAAGTGTTACTGCAGAAGGCAGGAATGGTTTCCTTTCCCTCTCTGTGTGACAGCGGAGCAGTCGGTTGGAGAAGGAGCTCCTGCCTGTCCAGCTGCAGGTGGAGAGGGTGGGCGGGGTTATCCAAGATGGACAACAGTTTGTTAAGGGTCCTGCTCTCCACCACAACTTCAGAACTGTCCAGTTTCACACCGACGATAGAGCCAGCTTTCCTGATCAGTTTATTGAGTCTGCTGGTGTCACCGGCTCTGATGCTGCCCCCCCCCCCAGCAGACCGCAGCAAAGAAGAGTGCACTGGCCACAACAGACTGGTTGAAGATCTCCAACATCTTGCTGCACACGTGGAAGGATCTCAGCTTCCTCAGAAAATAGAGTCGGCTCCTCCCCTTCTTGTACATAATGTCAGTGTTGATCTTCCACTTCAGTCCGTTGTCTAAGTGCAGTCCCAGGTACTTACTCTGTTTACTGGATTATTCACACGCTTTTAAAA